CACTGCCTCATCACAACGAGAAAGCGACAAATGGAGGGTGTCAAAGGTGACTTACACCACTGATCAACAAGCGTTTCATGATCTCAATATCATTGTGCAATACAGCTTGGAAGAGGGCTTGCGTCTCCTCACTTCGCTTCCTCTCCTCCCTCACATCATCTGGTTGGTGCGTGCCCTGCAACATCACAATCAATTCTTATTGTATCAACAATGGTGGCAATCAATTTACTGCAGCACCTCATGATGTGAGCAGTGAAGAGCACACTGGTCAATGGAGGCACATTGTGGCGCGATGCCATGCTGCACGAAATGAAAGCAAATTGGTGGCATTGCATGAGGGGCGATGGTGAGGCATGAGTAGTATTGGACGTCACAATTTGGACTAGCATAGGTGGGGAGTGGTCGCAGTGGCATGCATTTGTAGCAGTAGCATGTCGTGCAGAATGGGGCAGACAGAGCTAAAAGATTGGGCATTGCTTGCCATGAGAGTAGCGGTGGTAGTAGTAGTGGCAGGAACGCGTGTATGTCCACTTTCGTCCACTTTGGATGCAGCATCAGTGTGCTCTGCACGAAGCAGGTATTGCACAACATCGTGGTGACCATAGCAGCGGGCTTCTATGATCGGTGTTCGGTGGCGCTTGTTCTGTAAATTGGTGGTGCTGTCATAGCGACACAGCAGGTTGACAGCGGCCATGTTGCCCTTCATTGCCGCCCAGTGGAGAGGAGTGTTGCCGTGGTGGTCACAGAAGTAAGTGCACGCCCCGTTCTCGAGGAGGAGCTGCATCATTTCTATGTTGCCCGATGCTGTAGCTGCAATGAGTGGCGTCGAACTACGCTCCTCTGCGTCTACGTTAGGATCAGCCTGACAACAGAAAGTGGTGGCTGTATTACTCAGAGGAGAGGAAGAAGGAGTGAGTCGAGTGTGTCATGTTGTGAGTGTTGTGTGAGTGATGCACACAGGTGCATGGACGGAGCTCTCTCCTCTCCCCTCCTCATCTCACATAAGGTGGCCGAGGCAACATCTAGCTAACACCGAAGGAGAAGCAGGGGCATACGAAGAAGAAGAAGAAGAACGAGGAAGAGGAGAAGGAGGAGTAGGGGAGCTAACTAACCCCATTTTGCAGTAGTTGTCTTGCAAATGGGAGATTGTTGTCACGCACTGCCTGTGACAGAGTGGTTGGCGTAGCACCACCTCACGACCAACCGGCGCTCATTTGTTCTTGCTTAAAGGAGAAAAGCGAACTTTACGTTGGACCTCTAGGTTGAGCGACATTGTCGTCAGACAGCTGCACAATCAGTGCAGAATCAGTGGGGCTAAACGAGGCTAGTGGGATTGGAGAGGCTGCCAAGTAACTTTGCATTCAAATTGTGCTAACGAAAACTGGTTAGAGCAAAGGAAGTTGTTAGTAAGAAGGAGGGCTAATGCGAACCTTCGAGTGACTCATGTTCTCTGCTGTGGTAAGTAGAGGGAACTTCAACTGCCGCGCACGTGGCCATGAAGATGTGCTCAAGTAGGATAAAGTAAAACAAAGTGCAATCGAAACCATTTTATGACGGTTACAAAGGACATAAGCCAATGGTGAGGCGGAAGTTGATTGGTTGCAGTCTTTGCGGCTGCAGATTGGGACTCATCATTTCATTATGCTTATTGCACCACATTCCATGCATCAATATTGCGAGATGTGCCCACACGTGGTGGAAGACATCGCATTTGTGCATTCGGAAAGAGTCACTATGGCATTAGCAAGGCAAACGGTGGTTCGTTTTCCCACTGTGTGGAGCTGAAAGAAGTTGCAATGAATTTGAAAGGCTTTAGTTCCTTTCGTTGCTCTTTGGAGGAGGGTGCAGAAGGCAGAGGAGGAAGGGGGTGGAGGGGATGAAGTGGCTTGAGTATGCACGTAAAGTAGACAGAATAGCGCAAAATAGAGG